CAACTTTCATACTATCTGCAAATGCCATCGACTTCTGATTCGACTTTTTTATTCTCGTTTGCAGAAATACCGTCTGCACACGAGAAGACCAAGCCCGTCCATGCAAAACACAGCCACCACCAATGTCTCCACTCACGCACCGCAGTTCGTGGTGGTGACCGGAGGCCTATGGATGCCGCCGGAGTACACCACCGCCGCCATGGCCACGGAGGCGGCCGATGGTGCCGCCCCAAACAGAATCTACGCCCCCATTGCTACTCTCCCCCCAACATTTCAAGAAACATCGTGTGCCGCTAAACAAAGACAACTCAGAATCACGTCAAATTCCGGCGACTTAAGTAGTCATAACGAACAAGATGGTGTTCGGTCGGAATCACCGACTGCATCCTCCTCCACCCATGCGAGAAGTACTTAACGGACATTTTGGTTTTTGTTTAATTTTGAGTTTTTTTTGTGTGAAAATTTGTAGAATTATTGTAGAGGAGATTAGACCTTTTTTTTGAGGAGGTTGTATTTGATGATGTTGTGCATGTGGTTTTTGGATATTTTTTGTATAGCATGCATTTTTAATAGTTATTGTTGGAATTATAAACTTGTATATGGAGTTCCCGAATTTGTGGACTAGATGTGTAAATGAGTTGAGTCTAGCTCGAGCCTTATCGAGCTGAGCTCGATAAACGAACTCGAACTCGACTCATTTATCAATATTAACGAGCAAAACTCGAGTTTTAACAAGTCAAATTCAAGTTGAGCAACATAAATTGCATAAGAATTCCTATTTTTGAATTTTTAATGAACCGAGTTAACGAACGGACTTATTTCATTTAACATTTAACAAGTTTACAACATAGTAAAGGTTTCTATTGAATTTTGAAAATCTATTTGTATTGGGCCTAAGTTGAACGTTTTGCATAAAGCTCCATTCTTGACATGGCTCCATAGCAATCACTAAAATTCTTCAAATTTTTTTAGGCCTACTAAAAAGTCACAAAAATTGTTTTATTTGTTCAAAGAGTGGAGGAAAAACTAATTTCAAGAACATAAAAGGGTCCTCCACTTTAAGAATATCCTCATCGAATCAGAATCACATGCATCATTTAATTAGGTTGGCTTAGTGCTTTTAACTTTTAATTATTGTTTAATGTTGTGTTATATAGCAATGAATGGAGTATTAAGTTAGCAATGATGTGATTGGGCAAAGTGCCAAAGTATATTCTCTCTTTGTTTGTGGTATCTTTACTGGTAAAATGAATTGAAAGGGGAATATTCCCTCGAGAATCTTGCATTGTCTAATAAGTCTAAGATACCCTTCCCACTTAAATTATTCTTTCGAAATTGTCCCTATTTAATTATTATTGCCTTGTCTTTGTTTGTTTTGAGATTGACCAAAAGTTTGAGAGAAAAACAAATTCGCAACCAATAAAAAGAAAAAGTTAAAACTTAGCAATTGCTAACTAAGGACAAGCCATGAGGACATGTACAACCAATAATTGAACAATTACCTCATTAATTTAATCCCATGTGAAAATTTCGGGGAGTAACAAATTCGCGCTGATACTAAAAACAATGAATGTTCATGTAAAATTTGCGTAAACGAATAAATAAAAACGAACTTTCAGGAGAGCGTCTCACTCTCCCTCAAAACTTTTTCATTAAGCAAGTATTTGGCTAACAAAACAAATAAGATTTACACGCATAGACTCCCTCTGAGCTAACCTACTTTATACCCTACCTACCTAACTACTTTTCTGGCCACGTCGTGGACTTACTACGCTGAATGTATGGATCCCTCCAAGTATGAAGATGCTCCTCCCAAGTACCAAGTAGAAACGAAAATAAAACTGACAGCTCGAATTATCAGCAATGAACCAACATGCTAGAATCCGATCACTCTATAAAGTATAATAAAAAACTCACGAGCTCTCAATGAATAAAACTCTAAACTCTCTGAATAATAATGGAATGACTCATTTTTTACCAGAACTCGTGAAACTAATATATATACAACTAGAATGTGGTTCAAATGAGAACCAAGTCTTAGTGTGAGAACCGTGAGAACCACTATTTTTATTTGGACGTAGTGCTATGATTGATTGTGTTTGATGCTATTTTTAATCAAAATGAATTTTATTAAAAATAACAACACATTTTTTGGTGGCACTTGTAAAGATGATAGCATCATCTAATATGAAAAATAGCATCATACACAATTAAAAATAGCATAAAAAACGGTTCTCACGGTTCTCACACCAAGACTAGTTTTTATTTGAACCAAGCCCTATACAACTATATACGGTATGCAGGTTCATCAGAAATTTGGAGTTTACAAATTTACTTGATCTTCTCGTTCAGCTTTGGAAACTTAATCCTCATGCCTCATAAGTATTCATACACGAATATCTTGCCCAAATCTTCCAGATTTAAACGCGTCTCTCTTTCTCTTCAATCTCGTGAACTTTCTTTCCTTGTTTTCATGCGAACCTTCGGAAATATCTGCTTGTAATAAGTCATTATCCTTTTCTTGCTCGATTTTTCAGCTCTCAAATCTCACAAGCATATCTTCATTTTATCATCTTTGCTCTTCATTTTCCTACAAGTAAAAAAAACAATTAAATAAATACCATAACATATAGTCAGAGAATATCAAAATAAGGAAAGAGAATATATATATAATCTCCTAATGAATCTAATATATTTCCTTTACCTACAAGCTAAAGGAAGATAATTGAATCCAAATACACAATAGGAGAATAACTAAAATATGGAAAGTTAAGATGAGAAGATCTTCCCTCTCTCTTCAAGTATTAATTCCATGATACCTATCTATACTTATATTAAAAGGTATACCATTTACCGGATTTAGTATAAAGAAAAGTCAACAACATTTATTGCATTACTATTTATGTATTATACAATCTATACTTATATAAAAGGAGATTCTATTTACTAGATTTACTATCCAGAAAAGTCAACTGCATTAAATGCCATTACTATTTTGGTATAATAATATTTTATTTATTTAATTGATTTATTTATTTGTTTTATTTTAAAAAGGTAAGTATAATTTGATTATATTTGGTATTTGATTATACCAAATATATTCCTATTTAGTATATACATTAAATACTTACTAAAGTATTTATTTGTTTTATTTGTCAATGTTAAGTATAGATTTGTTTATATTATCAAATCATAAAAAAATATTAAATCCATATTGTAAAAAAAATATAATTTTATAACAATTCTACTACACTATTTAACAATATTTTTTTTTTATTATATAATAAAATAATAATTAAATATTATATGGTGAAGAACAATAAGTAAAAAACTATTACTTTCTCTTATATCAAGAGATAAATTTATATGCTAAAATTAAATTTTTGATAAATATTTTAGTGAGATAATATATTAATTATTTTACAAGCTAGCCCTAATGTTTTAAAAGATGTAGAAAAAAAACTTATAATAATTCTATTGTTTTTTAGACTTAAACGTTGACTAAAAGAGGTAAAAGTTCCTAATTTTTTAGACTTAAACGTTGATTAACACCATAAATTGAGAGTTTATATTTAGTAAAATTCTTAATTGTAATAAAAAAATTAATTTTTGCTACATTTTAGAATATCTTTAAATTCATTAAAAAAAAAAGAAAAAAAACTACAATGAAAAAAGCAAGTCAGCTATATATCGATTTGTTGTACTCCTCAAATCACATTCACAATTTGGCTACAAGGAAAGGAAACTCATTGATTAAAATATTATTTTAATGTACAAGAGACTTTAAGACTCCACTTGAATATTATAAAACTTTTATTGGACATTGTACAATTTTCTTGCGTATTATAAACTTTTATTGAATATTGCATCTTATAATATAATATTCTCCAAATAAACTTTTATTGAATATTGTATCTTATAATATAATATTCTCCAAATAAATATATCTCGTGCTTCCCACGGGTCACGTATTATATATCCCGTACATTTTTCTTTATTCATGTATATAATTATAAGCCTGGATAAATAGCCTTAAAATTGTGCACCCCGTGCATCGCACGGGCTCTGTACTAGTTTCAAGAAACACAAATATAATAAATAAATAATATTTTCGATTAATGTCAAATTATATTTTCTTACACCATGCTTTAATTAAATGAAAAATGGCCTTTGAGTGCAAGTTGAGACAAACGTCTCTTGATATCATCTAAACAACATTATACTAAAACGTAATTAATATCTCAAAACGTAAACACCTCTCCGATTAATGCAAAATCGTAATTAATATCTCAAAAGAGATGAAGAGTGTCTTTATTTCCTAAAACGAGGACTATATAGTTATATTATGGATAAATTAAATACATAATTTTCTTAAAAATACTAAATAGTTATATTTATTATATTAATTATACATGATTATTATTTTTTAATTTATAATTATTGTGCATGTATAAAAATCAAAATATTTTAAAAATAAGTTGAAAAAATATAAGAAAATATAACACTGTTCTTTTTTGAGGTTTTCTTTGTTAGCTGTAAAATGATCATTAGTTTACTGATTGAGAATTTGAAATCAAATTAATTTCAAACTCTTTAGAATTCATATTTGCTACTTTCAAATTCCTTGTAAAGATTTGTGAAAAAATATTGTAAATTCATTGTATAGCTCGTGATTGCGGTATTGACTCGTGGTGATGATGAATATAGATGAAGGGGCATACTCTTGGACGACCTAGTTGTCCCAACTGTCGAATTCAAATGCCTGAGTTTGAGAGTAACTTGAAATCCTTCAAAATAATTTTATTCTAAGCTACTATTTGTATAGTCCTCCAACCAAATTCAGTTGTTTGGCTGCTTGGCTTTAGGCTGTTGTGTAGATATAAATATATAAATATATATATATATATATATATTTCTTTTAATAAAATTTATTGTTTCGAAAAAAAAAATTGTTCCTTAACATATAATATATATAATCTTGATTAGATTTTTTTTTTTACTTTTTTTTTTTCTGTTTCATTATAAAATAAATTCAACACAACAACATTTTTTGAGCCCATCAAAACAGAATGCATTGCGTCTTCTACAACAAGCACCCCAATTACAACATGTGAAGTTCTACAACAATCCCAATTACAATATGTGCTTCTACAATAATAGGAAAAAAATTGGAAAAAACAATAATAATAATAATCTCGAAAGCTTTTGTCAAATCTCATTCTATGACTGATGGATGACAATGGCTTACAATTCCAATCTACCCTTTTTTCCACCACAATGAGTTTTCTTCTTCATCTGCATATGAACAACAAAAGCAAGAATAGATTCATCATAACCATTGATAGCAAACAACAATATAATGAACTATGGTAGCTCAATATTTCGACCTATAACCATTATGAAACCAAATAAACAAAAAATCGAACATCCACTTAGACAAACCTTTTGGTAAATTTCGAGTCATCACGACTCAACCGTTGAAAGAAAAGGATTGAATTCCGAAAACAATGAATAGAATTCCTCCGAATAGCGTAACCTACATCATGGAGATCTTTCTTTTACCAACTTTAAGGAAAACAGACAAATAGATAAGAGAAAGTCATGACAAAAGCATATTAGATCCATCAAACTTACCATTCTTTCAGATATTTTAGCTGCCAGACTCTTTCCTCCCAGGACAGCAGCTGCAGTGCACAAAGCTTGTCCTCTGAACAAGACAAAACAAATTAAACAAGATTTTACAATAATTTGAGAAATTTCAAGCTAACTTCCTGCTCAATTTTACATTTTATGGTACAATAAAGCTAATGAATATGAAATATATATGTATATAAAGAAAGGATTACGGAAGAAAGAACATAAGCTAGAATGGACTTACAGTACTCCACCAAGAACAACACCAAATGGATTCTCATCCGCAGCCAAACCTATGGTCGCAATCTGGAAAAAATAGCATGCTCGTGTTAAAAAAAATGTAAACAAAAGAAGAGGCAAGTTCTTGTGCATAGTAAACATATGATTGTCCTTCCATTTTATGAGCTTACCTGACTTCTATCACCCTATTCTCCAAAGAATGTAATGGAGAAGGCCTGAAAAAATAAAAAGTTAAAATAAATTATTTTACGAGTAGCAAGAGAGTTTTACTGAAGCTAATTAAGAGAATTTGTTTGACACCTTTAGAAAGATTGGAAAAAAGATTTGAGTAAGAATTGGGCGAGTTTGCTTTTTTCAGATCATCTCCATCCTAAGACAAACTAGAAATTATGGTTAAATCGTGTCAGTGAGTTTTGAACCACAAACCAGAAATTGAACTTAATAAGAAGATTAGCCTGCTGTGACATACGAGATAAACAAATATGTTTCAAATGACTGTAAATTTAAAACCGAGCATCATGATCATGTCAACTTCAACATTAATAACGACGACACAATACTAAAGAATCTCACACTACAAGCATCAAGTCTCGAAGCAGAGAAAATTCGAATCACTTCCAACTCCGTCAAATGGAACATTTTTTATATTCAATGTATATCAATAAAGAAAAAAAAAAAAAANAAAAAAAAAAAAAAATGACAAAAATCTCTCACCTTATTATTCTCTTTGGTTCCTCCAACATTACCACCTTTCAGATCAGCATTCTAGCCAGAACATAAAATTAAAATCAGTGAACATATATGTTATTTTAAAGCAAGTTCTAAAGGGCAAGAAACTAACCAGTTCTTGCTCCACTTCAGCCAATTCGTCATCCTCACTGCTCAGGAAGGACACGAATACAAGCAAGACTTTGAGTTAATTGAGCATTTGTGAGATATTTATCATATGTCAAGTAAGATATTTGAGTTAATTGAGCATTTGAGTTAGAAAGCACGAATATTTGGCTACAAACGAAACTGAACAATAATAAGTCGAGAGAAATATATCTTACTATCAAAGCTGAAAGGCATCCAGACAACACGAGTCTTCTCGGATGGCGCATTGCCAATATCTGAAACAAACACAAACATCAGTTTCTCCCCCCTTTTTTATGTATTTATTTATTATTATTATTATTATTTATTTATTTATATTTTTGGCCTTTTTTCCCTGTTACTCAAAATTTTAGACAGTGGTGTTAACTAATTCCCTGTAATGTTGGTTCAGGTTCACATACTTTTTTTGGATGATCATTTAATAAAAACCAATTCTGGTTTAGTATTTAGAACTTGTACAAGATCAAGATGCACAGAAAATCTTGCATACTTCTTTAACAAAAGTGCGTACCTATGAAAGCAGAACTAGAAAACCAGAGTGACCTTGAAGCTAAAATAAGTAAAATTAAAACATATGAAATTACAAGAGACATAAATGCAGCACATAAGGAGCAAATCAAGAACCAATACTACAGACAGTAATAGGTGGATTCAAAATATGTTTAACACACACACACACACACATAAAAGCTTACAGAGGCTGCGAAAAAGGTCTTGTCTCCAATCTCGGACAACACATTCATCGCCAGCGAAATATAAACTGGAGAATATATTTTAATCATTGTATTTAAAGATTTCAAATAATATTTCAAAGACGATAGTTTATTGATTTCAAACAAATGAACCGGCGACAGGGATAGTAAGGCTAACAGCCTGCAAAATAGTAAAACATTTTTAATTCAACCACTTTTTTTAACTTAATTTTAACTCAACATCAAATATCATCAATATTATCAATATAATTAAATAATATAAATCAATCATTTTTACACATCACATCAACTTTAATTCACTATCCATCCACTCGCATAATTTTAATAACCATCATTTCAAATCATCTTTCTCCTAATTTTACGTCAAATCAACTTTAATTAATTTATTTTAAATATTATTTTAATATACATACTAACAACTAACTATATCATATTTTTTAAAATTAACCAAACCAAACAAAAAAAAAATTATATCCAAGCATCCCAATTTTAATATCTTTCTCTTCCATAAGAGGAATATTATAGCCAAACAAAATATAATTTTTTTATTCAAATTAAATTCTCTCTAATTTAATACAGAGATACAGCACGACGGCCTCTCTGACAATAACAATATCATATATGGATTTCCCCCATTTAATTCCTTTTCCTAACAAAATTAAATTACATTCCTACTTTTCTAAATGCCATTGCCCAGCTCTTGTCTCGTTGCAATCTCTTCATCTCTTACGCTTTCAATAACTTCATGACGTGACACTCATTAACATCCCTTTTGCACATAATATATTTATACACTTTTATCTTATTAATTTCAATTAGAATATCGAGATAAAGTTATATAGTAAAAAATATTTTTCTAATCAATACTATTGAATTTATTTAGAAGAATACAGTCATTACACTTTTTATCGCTAAATTACATAAAAACACATACATATACGATTGTGCATTGATCTAAACTGCAATAGGCTGAAATTTGGCGTTTATTTAAAAATTTTATAAAATGTGAATATGATAAAAAAAAAGGGATTTTGTGAGGGCTACCAGAACTGTAGTATGCAGGATGTGGGACTTACTACAATTATTAACTTACATTGTATCTAGATTCTTAAAGAGGAGTCCTCACTTTAAAATTTAGGGAAAATGAATTAAATTTGATGACAGTAACCTCATGCATTGAAAAATGAATTTACGACGAGATTTTTCATTAATAATAATAAACATTTTTTAAGTTTTGATAATCGAACTATTCGGATAATTCGATCGAGCAAATCGAACCCTTGAAATGTTCAAATAATTTCGATTAGCTAAATGAGTCGAACACGAATGAACGCGAACTTATCGAACAACTAATTAACAAACAAAAACGTTCATAAATTTAGGTTCGACTAGTAAACGAACGAACTCGAATATTAGTCGAACTCGAGCTTGAACAACCCAAGCTTAGTTCGATTCGGTTCGTTTGCAGCACTACTGGGGAGGCATAATTTATTTTGATGCTTTTATGGAGAAACACGTTTTATAAGACAAGGAGGAGGTGTGTTTTGTTTTTGTTATATTCAGTCATAATTTTCTAACTTCTTACACTACAAGAAAATGATAGAATTCCAATGGAAATATATTCGAATAGAATTCTAACGGCAATTCCAATGGATATTTTTCAAGCTTTTATTTCTGTTGGGGTGAGTTCTCCATTGGAATTTTCGTTGGATTTTGATAATTCCAACGGGGGTGGAAATAAAAATTCCAACAGAAATTGCATATTCCAACGGAAATTCTCACGGTAAAAAGTAATTGAAAATATAGCCGTTGGAATCATCAAATTCCACCTAAAATTCCAATGAAAAACACAATCCAACGGAATATTATTGTTGGAATTTCTGTTGGAATTATTCCAACGGAAGCTATACCATTGGAATATCCGTTGGAATTTCCATTCAAATATATTACCATAGAATTTTTCGTTGAAATATAACAATTTTTTTTGTAGTGTACTATAGTGTCATATTGGGCAAAGCATTGGCATGCAGATGCAGTTCAATCGATTGAATCCATACCGCTTATCTAACCGATTCTAATAAACATTACTTAAATTTATTATTATATTATAAAAATATATATAACCAATTACTTAATAGTAAAACTAATTAAAAATCAAAGAATACCACGAATATAGTTGTAACATTAAGTTTGAAACTTTAGATTTATATAAAAATATAAAATTATAAAAAAAAGTTATACATTGTTTTAGCGGTAATTTTTGTTTAAGACTATATTTGGTAAAACTAACTGATAAGCTAACTGATAGTTGATAAGTTAACTTTTACCTTATAAGTGAGATTTGAGCTTATAGCTTATAGTTTATGACTTATAATTGAAAAACTAGTTTATATGATAGAAGTGTTTGGTAAATTAGCTGATAAGCTAGTTGAAATAAAAATTTCAACGAGCTTATTTGAAAAGTTACCTAAAGAAGCTTATGATAAAAGCTCAAACTTTTTAAAAAAGTCTGTCGTACCAAACGAAACTTATTTGCATGCAGGAAGTTTATAAGCTAACTAATCAAACTATAAGTTAGCTTATTTGGTTACCAAAATAGCCTAATATGTATTTGATTATGCAAAATCGGCATAAATTGATATAATACCACAAAAATTATCCAACCACCTTCTACATTGTTGATAGGTACTATTTCTTTTACACTCAACCTGACGATATATTAAGTTTTTAACCACGTTCTTTAGCAATCTAATTTTTTTATCCCAAAAAATGCGAAGGTTATGCGAATAGTTCACATAATTGTCGCATATTTATTCACCTTAAAAAGTGTCAAGGGTTATGCGAATGCCTTCGCATTTTTAACTATCGCACAATTATCCCATAATACCTTTGCAACTTATAGAATAAAAAAGTTAATTTATAATTTAGCGGTGTGAAAAAACTTATTTAATTTTCTAAACCCGGTACAAATAACTAATTTTTCTCCTATTAATATCACTGATTTATACGGTACAATATTTAAAATACTAGTAATCCTCCATTATTGAACAAGAAAAAGGTAATCATAGGAAAGAATATTTACTATAGGGTAATTTATTTAGACGACAACAAGGGTACTACAGCAATAAATACCAATAAATCAGAAATAATCATTAACTACTCCACAGTAGTAATTGCCACACACTAAAAAAGCCTCGAGCAAAAAAAGCTTTTGTCTCTTATAACGAAAATGATCTTTGCCACATACGATCTAGAGATGTCACGTCACGTATTTAAACAACCATGTAATAGCGCGTGGCACCACTCAGCGGCAAACGCGCGTGAGCTTTTCAGTATTAATTGGAGTAGCAAAATAATGCCAGGGTCAGAATGCAATTATCTAAAAAAATACAGTATTTGTAAAGTTGCTCATTTTTTCAGTGTCCGAAAAACTTTGTACGCATGAAAAAAACAGTGGAGGTGTGGCGGTGCTCAAAATATGCAAAACGTGTCTCTCTCTAACTCCGATTTGTACGGCCATTCCCAATCACCCTTCTACCTCAGGTGATGAAGAAAAAATTATTTTCTTTTCACATTTTTTGTCTTTTCTTTTTTCACTGCATGTTGTCTGCCACGTGGGAAAGATTCAAGTCTACAAGTAACTGCACTGAAGTTATCGAGTTTTTCATTAGTGCATGAAATTTCTCACACAGCCACATGGGTGTGTGTTGATCTAAAAGTGAAAAAACGTGATGTCTGCAGTTGAGTTGACGATTGCAGTGCAATTATCGTGTTTTTCACTGTTAGAATAGTACACATTACGTCGAAAAAACACCGTGATTGCAGTGAAAAACATGATGACTGCAGTTGATTCGAAACTTTGCACTGCACTTCTCAGATTTTTTACCGTTCACTGTGGCTGGTGATTATTTTTAGAAAATCATCAGTCATAAAAATTTGAATTTGACCCAGTTTTGACTAATTTTTTGTTACGGTTATAATGCGGACTATGCAGTTATCGTGTTTTTTTTTACCGTTGTATCAATACATACTACGGCAAAAAACACGATGACTGCAGTTGATTCGATTTCTATGGTTTTTCACTGCCAGTGTGAAAAAAAAAATGATAACTGAAGCTGAAAAACATTACCAGAAGTGCAGTTGTCGGGTTTTTAACTGTTATATCAACATTACACTCACATTTCTGTAAGGGTGTGTGTTGATCCAGCAGTGAAAAACCTAATGAGCGTATAGCAGTCACTAGGTGAAGTGACTGTCAATGCTTTAATTTGCTTGAAATAACTTTCATTTTTTTTTATTGCTTTTTCAGTTTTGGTGTGCATGAGGAATGTTTTGCTGACCTGTATGTATGTATGTATGTATGTATATGTGTATGTAGAGGTGATGGTGATGGTGGTGGTAGAAATGCAGATCTTGAAGAGATTGAACAGTCAGTGCCAGTGGTGAATGGATTTCATCACTTGGATGCACCTAATTTTAGCAGAAGTAAGTTTATGTGTGTGTAATAACTTAAAGTTTTGTTTTGTTTTTCTTTTTTTTATTATTATTTATTAATTTGATTGATCTTACACATGTTCAGTGGGCTCATTGTACACTGTTATGAAGGAAAACAATGTTTCAGTTGTGTCTAGTAACTTGCAGTTTGGTGGGCTCACTAATGTAAGTTTCTTTCTTTTCTTTTTTTTTTNAAGCGGTTTGAATCGTTAGATCACACTCACACACAAATATTTGGCAGGTTAGTGTCAATCTAACGGTTCAAACCCCACAGGCTTTTGTCTTTAAACTGAATATACTAGATATTGACTCAAAAATTCAACATAATTAATTAAGAAGTATTAATTTCTTAGATGGTCTTATATTTTCCCTAATTACAGAGTACAGGTTCAACTGAGATGGGCTCATCAGGTAGGGTTGTTGGGCAATCCTTGGTTCCAAGGGGTGAAAATGGAATTTGGAGTTTTGTAGGGAGTAATTTGCAATTTCAGAACTGGGCAGATAGTTCTGGCATTGTGCCTAATCACAGCCAACAAACTGATGCCTCCACAGAAACTACTAATGGCAAAACTCAGGTCTAATTTAACTAATCTAATTAATTGATTTGTTAATTTTGTATTGAGATATATAGTTTCAAATCTTTACAAGCTTTTAATTTTATTTATTTAATTTGGTAACTCATTTGTTTAGTTCCCTGGAGTTCATTGTGATAAATTGATAGTCAACGACTCGACTGACCAGTCCAAGTCGATAACCGGAGAACAAAAGNATGATGTTTATAATATTTATATATTGTTTCCTTGTTTCAGGTACTTTGCAAGCTGGCTCAAAATCGTGAAGCAGCAAGGAAGAGCCGAATGAAGAAAAGGGTATTTCGTCTATTTATCTGAATTTGTATTATCAATTCTATTTGTTCATACACCTGATTGTATATATGTCTAAGTTCAACTAAATATTATAAGGTGGCTATAATTACTGCTGTTTCTGAATAGGCATATGTCGAACAATTAGAAAACAGTCGGCTAAGGCTCGAACAGCTGGAGCAGGACATCAAACGAGCACGTCAGCAGGTAATTATCTTCATAAAACTGTAATCATCTGTTTTTAGCTGTGTCAAACTTTTTTATTTATTGTAATTTTATTGTTAATGTGAAAAGTGAGCTTTGAGTTACATCAAGAACTTGCTATGATTATGAAAGAGTGATTATATTAAAAATGAATGCAGGGTTTATTCATTGCACCTGGATTTTCAGGAGATCAGACAAACTCCATGGGTGGATCGGGTAAGTAATGTTAAAATTCGATACGAGAAAAAATTATATAGTATATTACTTCTCGGAAATTTCAACATTCGAAAATTCGGACATCATAGACCTTTTTTTTTTTTTTTTTTTTTGAGTGAATTTTGGTACTTCTTGATCAATGAACACGTGTAGGGCCCGCGTCATTTGACGTAGATTATGCCCGTTGGCTTCACGAGCATCAACGGCTCATGAACGATTTGAGATCGGCCGTAAATTCACATGCGTGCGTCACCGAACTCAAACTTATAGTCGACAAGGTTATGTCCCATTATGAAGAGGTATTTCGGCTCAAGAGCTTAGGCGCGAAATTGGATGTGTTTCATATTCTTTCCGGGATGTGGAAAACTCCAGTCGAGCGGTGTTTCATGTGGTTGGGCGGATTTCGTTCCTCGGACGTTCTCAAGGTATACATTTCGTACTCAAAAGGTTCGTTTTAGTCCTGTTGGTTTAACGTCATAGCAATTTTAGTCTCAAAATTACAACTTTTCGCCTTTTTGTCCAGTGATTTAATATTTTGTTGCAATTTCAGTCCTCAATTTCACTCCTTTGAGCACTAAAATTGCAACAAAATTTTAAATTATAGGACTTAAGTTGCTAATCGGAAATCTGAGAACGTGGAAATTTGTTGCAATTTTAGTCATGTAATTTTTAAAATTTTGTTGCAATTTTACTCCTCGGAAGAATAAAACTGCAGCAAAATGTTAAATCACAGGACAAAAAGGCGAAAAATTATAATCTTGGGACTAAAATTGCTATGACGTTAAATGAGCATGACTAAAAATGCAATTTTGCCTTTTCAAAATTACAAAATCTGAAAACTTATACTCCATTCTTGCTTTTACATGGTCTCATTAGGTCCTCGGGAGCGAAATCGAGCCACTAACCGAACAACAGTTGGTCGGATTTTGCAACCTACAACAATCGTCCCAACAAACCGAGGATGCTCTTTCCCAAGGGATGGAAGCCTTGCAACAATCACTTGTCGACACGCTCTCCTCGAACTCGTTGGGCCCACGAAACTCGAGCAACATAACCGATTACATGGGACAAATGGCTATTGCAATGAGCAAGCTTACGGCACTCGAGAATTTCCTTCATCAGGTAACATTATATACGATTTGGTCTCTACTTGCTTACGAAATAATATTAGTGAAGAAAAATGTAAGATTCAAATTGCTCGTTTTTGTTCTTTTCTTTTTGTTTTGGGTATATATGATATATGATAGGCTGACCTTCTGAGACTACAAACATTACAACAAATGCATCGGATTTTGACGACACATCAAGCTGCGCGTGCGCTTCTTGCTATTAACGATTACAAGTCCAGGCTTCGGGCTTTGAGTTCGTTATGGCTTGCACGTCCCAAGGGTTGATCGTGAAATTTTTTGCTCTTATGAGTACGTTTTACATCTTTTCAATTTGTTTTTTTTTTTTTTTTTCAGTTTTTTTTTTTTTTTTTTCAGTTTAGAAACTATGAGATGCTATATGTGAGATTTTTGCCTTAAAATCTGATTAATGTTGCTAGTAGCAAAATTACTGATTTTTATGGCTATGTGTGGGAAGTTTTTCTGATAGCCCTACTGTGTTATTGAACTGATTTAGCCTTGTAGGTCATTATATTATTTCTCCAAATTATTATTATTATTATTGTTGTTGTTGTTCACATTCCTATCTTTTCATTTATCTACAAAACAGAACAATTTTGTAACAATTAACTAGAGACTTGAATAAAATAAGAACTTGCAGAACAGACCTTGAGATTCCGGGTATCTCCAAAAACTAATTTATTTTGTTTGTATGGACATAATTTTATGATTATTGAGAATATTGAAAAATTTTACATACATTTGACTTTATTGTTATTATTATTATTATTTGAGAGTCATTTCAATGTACTCACTAAAAAATAAAAGGTTTTCTATTAAACGGAGAGAGTAAGATATCATCATAGCTCAAAAGCCTTGAAAATTAGCCATACAAAAAGTTCAATGCGACCACAAGAAGCCATGAGCGAACAAAACAAAAGTGAAGATACCTCAACAAGTTAAACAAAATACATCGAGTCTTTTCGTTTAGTACATACATATGTAGATTTATCCGATACTAAAGTAGAAAAACTATCAATTACATTCAGATAGCACGGAATTTGTCTTAGCTTGACATGTTATCGATCGACTGAAGAGCTTGGTTGGCGAAAAACCGAACATCCACATCAGGGTCCTCCCCAAGCTCCACCAAGCTCGGCCGTATAGTTTTCTCCACCACCTTAAATACAAACATAAATTTTAACAAGTTTCGACAAGCATTCACTTTTTCCCACAAACTTAATAGGATTCTTTTTCGGCTAAATTGCAAATTTCGTCTTATTAAATTTTGAAGGTAGCAATTGAAGTCTTACTAGAGTGACATATCGCATTTTAAGTCCTGTAATTTAAAATTTTGCAGAAATTTCAGTCCTAGTCGTCAAAATTCTCAATTCATATATTTGGAGGGAATTCTGATTGGCAATTTAAGCCTTGTAATTTAAAATTTTGTTGTAATTTCGATCCTTTTAACCGTCAATATTAAAAATTTTAACGGTCAAAATTAAATTAAATGACCTATATTGCTATGTCGCTCCAATGGGACTTAAATTGCTAGTTGCTACCTTCATAATAGGCCCAAAATTGCATTTTAGCCATCTTTTTCTAGTTTTTTATTTTTCAGATATTTAGGATTCTAAATATTTAATTATTTTTTCAAGCAAAAGAGAGATGAAGAGGATAAAAGAACTCACGGATTGGTCAACAATCGGGATCATGGACTGTAGTACCTTCGCCACGTTAAACTTAATGTTGGGTACCCTGGAAAATTGTTGCGTCAGCTAGGTATTCGTGAAAAAACTAGGATTATTCTCTTTTAAAAGGACATTTTGAAAAAATAAAAATAAAAATAAAAATTACCTATCCTTCGATGCAGTAACAATGACGGGCAGTAACTTAGAACAAGTTATCTCGGAACCCATGACAGGGGCAAGCAAGGAAATTGCACGAAGGACAGTCATTCGGTACAAATAATGCGGATTGTTTACCATATCCAAAACCTGCAGAGAAAAACGATCCCAGATTTGAGGGTTCGGATAATGTCGTAAAAGAACAAATGACGTAATGAATTCACGATTATATAATATAATGGTATCTTACAACATATGATTTACCAATGCAAGGATTAAAATACCAAACATGAACTACGCATTTGAGGAAGCTCAAACGAAATGAGAACCTTAGAAAGGCCACAAGACCAAGTTTTGATTTTTATTTCATTCAAAACCTATTAGAATAACTCCAACTTGTAATCAAGAAAGGGAAAAAACAAATTACATATCAGAAAGAAAAAGACAGCATTTGCAAATGTACGCACATTAAGAAAGGCAGTATTTTCTATACTCAAAATGCACAAACCTGAGGAACTATATGCTGCATTGCCCACTCTGGGCCAAATTCTTCAGCCAGACGTTTCAAATTATTAGCTGCAGCATCTCGAATTGAGTACACCTGCAAAATATTCACACCATTTGAAGATGTAAGTGTTGGTTTTCTTTTGAGAGAGAGAGAAAGAGGGAGAGAGAGAGAGAGGGAGAGGGAGAGGGAGAGAGAGGGAGAGAGAGAGAGAGAGAGAGAGACAGAGACAGAGAGAGAGAGAGAGAGAGAGACCTTGTCCTGTAGCCACTGCATGCAAAGGGCGCCTAGCTTATCATCGAAAAATCCAACACCAAGCTGACTGGCCAATAATGGTATATATTCTATGATGGCGAGCCGAACCCTCCAGTGCCTATCCTCTGCTAGTTCAACAATAGCAGGTAATAAAGATTGGGAGAGTAAATCAATACCAATCACCTGCATCAACAGAGAACAAACTAAATCGAGTGAACAAAAAATAAAATAGAGCAAGAAACAAAAAAAAAAATGGCAAATAAAATAATGAGATTTAAAGAATAAATATTTGCTATATGACATAGAACTTGATTAACTAAATAAAATAGAGCTGAATGGCAACAAGCCCAGACCTGATTAACTTGATCTAGCTTGCTAATTATATTGAGACGAACATCGGGAAATTCATCTTTCAAAAGGGCAAGGAATATAGGTAGAAGTTGTTCAATCGTTGCATCCTACATCAACCACACAATCCAATATTAGCAAAAGATAAAGTAAGAATCACAAAGTGAAATAATTCTCATCAAAATGTGCTAAAATGTTGATACTGTTTGTACATTTCACATTTCGAAAAATAAATAATTTAATTAAATACAATGAATGTAATAATAATAATAATTTCCTAATCAAGTACAAGCGAAAAACATGTTCACATGAACGCCTATTTTTTTAAGAATTAGAAGTTGCAAAATATATACCTTCCCCAAAACAGGAGCCATTCCCATAATGACAGAAGCCAAAGCAGACCTCACGTGCTGAGAAGAATCAGATGACAATTCCTGCCAGGAAAAATCACCATTATAACCAAAACGAAAGACTATGAAAAAATATGTTTCTTATAGCTAACACGTTTAAGTCCAGCTAACTTTTGTACAATATGGTGCTTACTTTCACACAGGGAAGAATATGCTGGATAGCAAGTTCAGGATTAAGAATCCGGCAAAACTTTGTAAGTTTTCCAGCAGCGGCTATCCGCACTTCTGCTTCGTTATCTCGAAGTAATCGGACATAAGCAGGAACTAACTCCGTCCTTTAAAGTAGAAACATCACATACTCACATTAACAATACATTTTTAAGAAGGTAAATTAGAAAGAAGAAATGCTTTCAAATTATAACAGAGAAAATCACATAATACACTGAAACTTAATCGAATTGCACAAATAGTGTAATTCCTTACAAGCCGTCAAACTTCTATAGTACATGTCAGATTGTAAATAAATACCTGGTAGGTTCGGGTCCCACTGCCTCACAAAGCTCATACAACTGATTGGCAACCATGTACCGGACACGCCAAGACTTATCCTGATACATACAGAAGTAGTA